ATTTTTTATATTAATTTTATTTATATATTTAATGTTTAACTCGCTTGATGTTTTCACGTTATCGTGTTTTTTTCTTCTTCCTCGTAGGCATCTCGTACTTCGGCGTCACTCATGCCGCCTCCGCAGCGGGCACGAGTGCAGAATGAGTACATAGATCAGCCCGCCCACCCTGTGATACGACGCACCCCGAACCCCCGCCTTAACACCAGCACGCAGAGCAACGTACGTACGATTCAGCCAACTACTAACGTAAATATAACGCATACAACGACTACATTGCTTGCACGCTTGCCAAAAGCTACTAACGTGTTGCCGATTCGTTGTATAGGCAGCGCGGTGCATGAGGCATTCTTATGAACTTTATTCAGTCTCTTGCTTCTAGAACTTGGCTCTTTCTGTATAAGTTGTTCGACTTATATTAAAAGCTCATATATAAAGCTAATGGCTATTCATTTCTTAGATATTTTATTTAGATGTGTTTTTTATATATATACTAGACTGGCCAATGCGCTCTCATTTTCAAGGATTGAAGCTCAAAATTGCATTTTTCCCCCCATGCAGCAGGATGGACGAAACTGCAGCAACGTGAATAGCTCAGTGTCACACGACACTGGCTACTCGGAAAGTATGCACGACAACTCCACGGACGCGATGGTTTCCCCTGTCCGGCCATTAGTAGGTGGCAGCACAGGCTACGCGCAAATCCCAGCTCCTGCGAATCAGAGTGCGCCGAGTGAGAGTGATAACAGCGAAGGTAATGCAAGGTAAATGTGCTTTATGTTCATCGTGTCTGGCCCCAATGAAGCTGAAGGGGTCGTTGCCGTATATGTACCCGAGTATAGTGTCCGAGGTGTCGGCGAGTATGTCGCCTACGCCTACTCCCTAACCCTAACCCTAACCCTAACCCTAACCCTAACCCTAACCCTAACCATATCAAATAGTTACTTCGGGTACATATTATACGCCATTATACGACAACGACTCTTCGTGCCCCAATGAACCACGTATAGCCGAGTGATGTGTTTGTGGGTGAGAGTGTTATTTAATTAAAAAAGGTATGTGCTCTGGCTTGGGAGTTGGCTTGAAATAAATTCAATATTTCCTCCTCGATCCTATCCTAATGAATACGCATGTGTTTAGTTTTAACCTGTTGGTGGTTGGTTTGTACTCGTTTAGTTTTTGGTGCCGTGAATTTCGATTTTGTGTAGTATATAGCTGTATACATACATCATATCTGTTTTAGCATACACATTTCTTATTTAATTAAGGGAATTTGAGCTGTATTGTGTAGAATAATAGTTGCACGTAAATTGCCTAAATTCTGGTGTTGGTGTGAGTTGCTATATAATATTACTCTCGTGGCTGTCACATTCATGCGACTCCTTTCTTTTTCTCTGCTGACGTTTTAGGCATCCTTATGCCTCTACTGGTGAGTAATCGCTCTCACGAGAACAACTATAACTATTCTTGTCTATTCACTAATTCATCATCTGCAGCACCAGCACTGACTAACACCCAGTAGTTATATTAATTTCCGATAAGCTTCATTTAAATTAGTAGTAGTAGTAGTAGTAGTATCACATTTCATCACAGTCTTTCAGTATTATCGGTATTACATTTAAGCTATCATAATTTATTTCGTATTAGTTTGATATCTTTATCGTTTAATTATCGAAAAATGCATCAATGTTTCCCAAGATTGGCTTTGTAATAACAATTAAGAATTTAACGATGTTAAATAATTATCGGGAATGATTATTTTATCGGAATTAAGTTCATGATCGAAAATCCTCGATGTTTTTATTATTCGTTTAATTGCTACTTTTAATCGGAGGCCGAACGTTTTCTCAAACCGTAATCTCATTTGCCTTGCAGCAGACACATATGGTTCAGTGAACAGCATGTTGAGTCGCCTGGACACCGGCACAATACACTTGTCTAGAGCGTCGCCCGGCAGCTCTGCCGCGACGACGCCGACCGACGGCGGCACCCATCACAGAGCGACGGTGCCACCGTCGCACGCCGCGACCGCAAATCCGCTCGTGACGTTCCGGCCGAGCGACGACGAGAGCGACGGCGACGACCGACGCGGCCGTCACCGTGGCAACGGTACGACGCAGCTGCTGACGACGAGTCGCTACCGGGGCGTCGGCGCGCAGGAGGACGCGGCGGTGGCGCGACGGTCGGGGGGACAGCGTGCGCTACTCGTGCGTAACAACGGGAAGATGACGAATCCCGAGGCAGTGCCGCTAATGATCGACAGCCGCGTCATCCTCGAGGACGACGAACATTGCTGTGGCAGCGACATCGAGTTTGCCGACCGGTCGCCGCGACTCGGGCGTGACGTCACGGCGAAGGACGTCGCGCGCAATCGCTCGCTGTCCGAGCTGCTCTAGTCCGGCCGCCAGAGGTCGCTGTAGTCGCGGTCAGTGTGAGAATCGTCCTGTTTAGACGTCTGGTGTCGTCAGTTATGTATATCTGTGCTCGCGTAGATGAGAAATGGCCAACGCTTTTTACGATGTGACGTGCTTCACTGTGTGCTCGCTATTCGTTGTGTAAATGTTTTTTTGTCGTGTAGATATACTTTTTTCGCGTGTACAGAAAACGATTATTTAAATATCAAGATGAGTGAGATCATCTGCAGCTGAGCAGCTGAGCTTATGTCTGTACATATGGGTTATTATTCAGTGATTGTTAATGACATTTCAGACCTATATTCAAGCTACGGACACCCGTTCTCTCATAGTGTAGCTGTATCGTATAGTGTGGGTAGAGAAAATGGAGAGATTCATTTCGCTTCACTAAATATTGGTGTCGTTTGCATTGTTGTGAAACTGCAATGCCAGAATGCATCAGAGATAGCTATGTAATATTTTCTTCCGAAACCCAAGGTGATCTTGATTTCATAACTGAGAAATTAAGTTTGCTATAATTTTAAGTTATCTTTATTCTTTTCTTTCCAATTCACCGCGTTTTTATTCATACTTTACTCTTACTGAAGGTAATGACTAAATGCCTATGAATTTCGAATGTTGATTTGTTTGTAAAAACCATTAAGTGTAAATATTGTCTACAAAACGTATTTAATAATTTATTTTGATAGAAATTTAAAACCCAACTGCCTTATGGTATTTTTTAAATGGTTGCGTTTCAACTAAATAAATACAAGCACGAGAAGAGGAACAATTAACAGCATATAACTTGCAAATCAAACACATTCTACGTCATCCTAAAAATTCCACGCCACTGATTTTAAACAGGTCCCAGAAATACGACATTCGACATGCTATCCAAGCTTGTGCATCGGGAAAATAAACGTTACGACTGTTAACTCAATGACAATCCGTTGAAGTGTGCTCTCTACATTTGCATTCCAAAGAGACGACAGTTGCCATGGACACACATGCGCGCGCACGAGTCCACACGCTGACACGCAGGCGTTATATCGCAATACGTATACACGCATTTTAATCATCTCATGCATTTTATTGGCTAACACACGTCGCTAAAATCGTACAACTGCTGGATGGAGTCTGTCAAAATCATGACGCAGTTTGCGTGTATGTCACGTCATACGCCTACGCGCAGGGGCGTGGCATACCTATGACGTCACAATGATACCGGTGCTAGGGAACGAGGACTGTGTGGAGGGAAATGATCAACGCTAGTGAATTAATAATTTATGTGAAATGAAATGTTAAAACAGATCTCGCTGGCTAATTATAGGAAACAAAAATAGCAATGATGGCTGGATCGAACGGTCAGTGTTTTATTTTGTATTTCATCGGCATTTTCAGTAAATATTTAACGATTTATTTTGTATTTGTATGCCTCGATTTGTTGATAAATGCCTGGACAGCTAGCGCGATCTCATCTTCTATACTTACGTAATCACGAGTATATCACATTCTGATGATGACGTGTATACACGCTTCCATTCAATATTCCACTATTTAGGCAAAACGGAATGCAACAAAAATTATGTAACGACGAGTGAACGAGATTACACATGGAAAGCCCTTCCTCCCGTGAAAACGCTCAGGTGAAAGTATTTCTATATTTATTTCTCTGGCTAAAAGGCTAACTACCTGGCTTTGCCATGCAAGCTAGATCACACCCCTGGCTAGCTATAGCCCGTCGCATAATAGTCAAGTTTGACTGCGTCGACGTACACTACAGATACAGTATACAGAAACTGAAGACATAACGCCCACACGCACGCGCACAAACGACACGTTTATACACTGACAAGCGCACATACACACACGCGCACACGCACGCACGCACGCATGCACGCCCGCACGCCCGCGCACGAACGACACGTTTACACACTAACAGTAACAAGCACACATACACACACGCCCACACGCACGCACGCACGCATGCACGCCCGCACGCACGCGCACGAACGACACGTTTACACAATAACAAGCGCACATACACACACGCACGCACGCACGCGCACAAACGACACGTTTACACACTAACAAGCGCACATACACACACGCCCGCCCACACGCACGCACGCACGCGCACAAACGACACGTTTACACACTGACAAGCACACATACACACACGCCCGCCCACACGCACGCACGCACGCGCACAAACGACACGTTTACACACTGACAAGCACACATACACACACGCGCACACGCACGCACGCACACGTGTGTGTATGTATGTGGGACGCGATAAGGGTTTACGACATATCCAAATGCATCAATCGCATACAAATACGCTTCGAGTATATATTTACGTTTTTTCTCCGTACACCCCGCCATACGTACAGACCGCCGACTGCCGCGGCAAATCCATCCGACGTGCGGAACCTATCTACAACATACATCAAGGAATTCTCTAGGAAACATGCAAAAGATTCATCGCCGGTGCGCTCTGGCAACCATTTAATGCACCGAGCCGAAATGATCGCCACCCGACACAGTAACACACGCACACGCTGTATTAATTAATACTCCTCCCCACCCTCTCGTATTTCTACTTGCACGACTATGGTAGTATTATGGCGCTTAGCAAATTTCAGCCCTCGTTATTGTCCCTATTATCCTCCTTCTCCCTTCCCATCCTTCTTCTCATTGATAATCTTCTTCGTCATTCATTCGCGCGCGCTGCGGCACTGTCTTCATTGTGTGGAAACCGCGAGCAAATGGCTTTGCCGCCACCGTGACCAAAGCCTCCTTCGTTCTCGTCGTGCGCTCCGTCGCTTCCGCCGGAGCCTAGCTGCGTGTATGTCTCTATGTGCCTATGAATGCCAATGACGAAATAATGAATGAGAGAACAGCTGGGGACGGATCCGAGAAGGAGAATAGAAAACACGGTTTGGCCCAAAATTGTCGAATTTTATAGGTATATATATATATATATATATATATTATTCAGGGTCAATTCATCTATTCATGAATAGATTTTGTATCAATTTTTAACTTTTTTAACTTTTTTTGTTTTCAATTTTGCCCTGTTTCAGCCAGAACCACCTCTTCAGACGTACTGATTCTGAAAATATTTTTAGTTTTACTCTTAGGCCGCGAGCTCTCTAGTTATCGAGTACGACTAATTCGGCCTGAAACAACTTATATATATAGACAGCATATATTAGATATACGATGCATATAATCAGGAGTGAATTAATAATAAAATCATTTAGGAATCTATTATTATTCCATCAGATTCCTATAGAATTCCATAATTCCATAGATTGCCATACACTCTTATAGAATACTATTATTAATACACTCCCAAATATAATCAATTTACTCAATATAATTGGCCTGCTGCATTGTTAGTGTGGGCAACAAATGTCTCACGATTATATCTCATTAAAATGTTATTTATCTATATGAACAGGCCACATTGCATATCTGATACGTCATAACTCTATATAATGTACCTGTGTATAATTATGTTTTACCGTATTTTTAAATGTATAAAAATAAATTTGTATGTAATAATTTGCTATAATATATATTTATATTTATTATAAAAACATTATAATTGCATATTGAGAACAGAAAGTTAATTAAAAAAAAAATCGAACATCAAATTTGCATTTGGGCTATACCTCTTTATCTTTAGTTAGTGGCGTCGTTATAGCACACATGCATGGCACTGTCTGGCAATGCGTTAAGTCCGCAATAACAGCAATCAAGTGCGTGAATATTTCCAGGGCTAAAAATTGGACATAAATGTTTTTGGGCGATGTCTCTGTACCTGGAACATAATATGTAATATCACACTAATGTGGATGTATCACAAAGAAACATGAATTGTACACATATGCCTCTTGTACATGTTCATGTTATAATGGTAATGTGTTCGTGTTATCACTAACTGCCTGCAGAGTATTATTACAGGATAAATTGTTAAAGTCGACCGCCTAGGATGGCGACTAAAGCAAATCGCGGCTAGTTTGTCCCAGTGGTGAGGGGAGCCGACATGAAACACAAAATTCGTGCGCATTGCCGAGAGTGCTCTCACCGAGATTACCCTGAGCTTAACTATATAATCGATATAGCACAAAATTATATATTGACACAAAAATATAGACACAAATCTCTGAAATAGCTTTTAATAGTATGAATCATATCCTTAGTCTTTGCGGCTGCTGGATGGCGACGTGGTTAAGGCGTTGACTCTGATATATCCAATGGGGTCTCCTCCCGCAGTTCGAACCCTTGCTCGCAGCGATAATAACCGTTTTAGCAAGCTTTTTTTGGCTGTTTCTGGCGGTTTTGAAATCATACTGTGAATGGCAATTTAATACGTTCCATATTATTTGCATATCATTAAAAAAATTTCGCAGAGCAATGACTTCCCAACACTCGAGGGTGTCCTTTTTGCGGCTTAACTACTATAATAATAATAGTTTTTTATTCACAAGACTTCCAGCGACATGCTGGAAAGTCTTGTGTAATTAAAAAAAACGACTTCGTTCGTTGCTAATACCTCGCTTTCTACGCGAGTTGTGGTGTTTATCAATGTTCTCCAAACTAAATTTCTTTACGTGTTTCTATCAACTCGTACCTCTTACTGTTTCGTAGTCCGATTATCTCATTTCGTCACTCAGTCAAGAAAATAAACGCAATTTAGAGTCGCGCGAATAAATGGTGGAAAACGTTATATAGACTTAATCTAAAATAAATAATACATTAATAATAAATAAATAAATAAAATAAATATTATATATCATATATATATATTCAATATATATTACTCATATATTATTATTTATTTATTTATTTATTTATTTTATTTATACCTGCGCTGGCTTTCCAATCATGGTATTCAATAGCAATTTATTCACTAGAGGGTCATAGAAGGCGCATAATAGAGGTTGCGAAACGTCACATGTTTGACTCTGTTTCCACGCTCTCAGTGCTTTATGACATGGAAAATTCCGAAACAAATGCTAGGAGAAATTTGCCGTCAGACATGTGGGAAAGCGAAAGAGACGGACGCGTCCTCACAAGAAATACTCGACTACGTCTGGAAAGACACGTGTAAATCTACATACGAAGCAAGATTTCTCCTAGGTCTGCCGCAAGGTAACATTTAAATAACTGTAACTTACTGGGGGAGGGGAAACCGCAGGCTAATGAAAACTAATTGACTGCGGTTCTGCTTTTTCGCGCACTGAACCTTTACGTCGGAATATTTTACGCACTTAACAGTCTTTCCTGAAATAAACAAGGAAAGTCGCATATCTATATGAGGTAAAGGATAATATGGCCTAAGAAACGTTGATAGATCTATTTCCCTTTACCTGGGGTGGTTGAGCTATGACCGCGCAATGAGCCATATAGTTGAGTATTACGATCTCACTGTCCACGCGCATGCGCGCGTAGACATCAGTTATACGTCGACATTAACTATATATATATATATAATATAACTTATTATATATATTATATAGCTATGAAAATAATACTTATATATTATCATATATATATATATATATAATATATTATAGTACGTGAGAGAGGAAGGAGATGAAACATTACAGACTCATCGATCAGGATTATTTACTCACCGCACA